GGTTGTGTGGGCCCACTAGTAAACTGCCCTGAAAGTCTAGAAACCAACACTACCGCCGTCTGTGGGGAACTGACGAAAAGTCACGTGTCCTTTATACTAAAAGTCAAGTAAGAAGGTAAGTTGAAATGGCCGGATGAAGGTCACAAAGCCGTGTCACCGGAGGAAACAACCCGCAAAGCAACGGTCATGACTTGCGTGATCGGTTGAGTTGTCCTAACTCGCAAGGGCGAGGGAGAATTTGCCTCATAAACAAGAACCTCTGCGAAGAATCGGCTGGAACCTGGCCACTACCGCCGTCATAGGCCGTCCCTACGCTTGTCGAGATGCTCACCAGGTGGTGGATGCCTATACATGAGGACAAATGGAGCGAGTGGCTCCTCCACAGCCGATGGCATAGAGAACAACATGTGTTATGCCCTCTGAACAAGAGGGCCACATAAAGGAAAATCGGCGACTAAGTCCTAGACGTTCAAGATTAGGGCGAGAGGCTTCTCATCGTCGGCATTTGATAGGCTTGGCGAGAGAGGAGCCAACCGAGCACCAGGTCTGCTGGAGGACGGGGTTGGATATGAGTCGAGGTCTGGTCATGAGCCTAGAAATAGGTGTGAGCGAAGGAGGGAGGCTATGCACAAGAGGGAAGCAGAATCTTTGGTCGAAAGTAGCGTCAAGAAATCAAGGACTTAAGAGAACGATTGGATGGGAAGTCCAAACCACCTGCTCGTGCCTTGCTAGCCGCGTCGCCCTTCATGCCTGAAATATTTGCTTACAGGGCAGCAACCAAGTTCAAATTTCCATAACACGCGACCTTTGACGAGTCAGGTGATTCGAGACAACACCCGGTGAGCTACCAGGAAAAAATAGTTGATGAACCCTTCTTGTGCCGAGCGTTTCTCCCTACGCTGAAAGGGTTAGCCCAAAGGTGGTTCTTATCTCTTTCGCCACGATCGATTGGGAGCTTTGAGGAGCTAGCCGACCGGTTCTTAACCAATTACGCGAAAAACATCAAGCCCATGCATGATCTGACGTACCTGTCCACAATCAGTCAAGATGAAGGTGAATCCCTAAGAACATATCTAGCTAGGTGGCAGAAAGAGATGCAAGATGTGGAGGGAGTGGATTACTAGACTGCTCTCATGTTTTCATCGAACGGGCAAGCTGTATATCAACCTCCATGATGACAGGCCAAAGACGTATGCCGAGGCCATGCAAAGGGCAAGTAAGTGTGTCGAAACGGAGGAGGCTGTCAGGCATAAGAGACAGCGAGAGATGGGTGGATCAAGTTCCAAAAAACCAAAGTCTAACTCAAAGGGAAAGTATGAGAGTGAAAGACGTAATGGGCCGAATTTGAGGCAGGCCCTTGAAAGATTGGGTGCCCTTCCTTTTCGACCTATCTTGGCTCAGCCAGTACATGAGGTTAAGGAGACCCTGCTCCCTCCGCCACTGCTTAAGCCAGGCGATTGGCTTGACATTTTGGACCAAAGTAAGTTACCCTAGAGACACTGTTGGTATCATTGGTCGGGTACTCACACCACGAAGGAGTGTGCGTACCTGAAGAAGGAGATTGAAGCTTTGATCCAGAAGGGAGCCCCACCTCTGCCCAATCAATGGAGAAGACAACTGCACTGGAAAAATCCAGGTACTGACCATCCGATCTCTAGTAGTCGTGATAAGAGGATGCAGCCTACCTCTGAAGAATATGAGGTTAATTGGAGACACAAACCGGTCATCAACGTGATCGTTGGTGGACCAGAATGAAAGGTCTCTTCGAGTTCCCGCAAGGCATGGGCTCGCCAGTTGTACGTTGGGACCATTTATGGTCGAGAGGACAGCTTGAAGAAGGCTTGTCGAGAGCCAATTGGTTTTACAGATGACGATTTACCTAGAGGACATACTCCACACCGAGACGCTCTAGTTGTGGCGATGTATGTGAATGGAGTTGTTGTTAGGCGAGTTCTTGTAGATATGGGCAGTAGTGTTAACATTTTTTATCTAGAAGCTTTCAATAAACTGGGGTTGTCCTGAGAGAGTCTTAAGCCAGTTCGGACTCCCCTGACTTGGTTTACTGGGGACGCGATTGAGGCGAAAGGTTCTATCAAGCTGTCGATCGAGCTAGCGACATACCCTTAACTAGTCCAAATTATTATTATTTTTTTCACTTCAATTTTAATTTTTGTGTATTTTTATATAAATAAAATTAAAATTTTTTAAAAAAGGAAAATGATATTCCCCCTCCCCCAAAAAAAATTATAAAAATCATAGTATGACACTAAACTCTTGTGATAAACATAGTGTAATTCCAATTACAAACATGGAATATAAAACAATATAATCACAATAAACATTAAAAATAAAAATAGAAAATGGTATATTTTTTTTCTGTATGATATGCCAAATCGTTAACTACATTCGTAAGGCAAATTTTCCTATGAGATCTTCATTTGTAAGACGGGTCGAATTTTTGATAAATATTACATTTTTCCACAAAAGTATTACAATTTTCATTATAAGTAACTCTTCAACTCTTAATATTACATTTTGATTTAAAAAATATTACATTTGTTATCAAAAGTATCACATTTTTCGTCATAATTGTTACATTTTATCTCATAAGTAACAATTAAACAATTTATCCATTAATAGTATTACATTTTTCTCATAAGTAGAGGTAAGCGTAATTCGGATTATCCAAACTATCACCCGAAACCTGAACAAAATTTTAAATTTCGGGTGAACCTAAATAGTTATCGGTTTGGATATATTAAATTTGGTATATTCGAATATAAATTCGGTTCAAATATCGGGTGTTAAATTTTTATCCATACCCGACCCGAAACCTGAACAACTAACCAAAATTTTATTATAAATGATGGATCTTAGCGCTGCACTATGCTTACTTCCCAGTTGATCACTCATCATGTGACTGTTGTAAGTCAAACACGCTTAACCACAGAGTTCTTTGGCTATTTGGTTGTCATATCATACTTAAAACCAACAATCCTCCTCTCAGCACATGCCACAACCTTTGATCACCAAGCCATGTTGCACAGCATGCCTGACTCGGTCCGCGCCTATGACTGTTGTAAGTCAAGCACGCTTAACCACAGAGTTCTTTGGCTATCTGGTTGTCATATCATACTTAAAACCAACAATCCTCCTCCCAGCACATGCCACAACCTTTGATCACCAAGCCATGTTGCACAGCATGCTTGACTCGGTCCGCGCCTGATTCGAACCCGTGACCTCAGCTCTGATACCGATTGATGGATCTCGCGTTGCACTATGCTTACTTCCCAGTGGGTCACCTATCCTGTGAGTACTGTAAGTCAAGCATGTTTAACCACATAGTTCTTTGACTATCTGGTTGTCATATCCTACTTAAAACCAATTGGTGATAAGTAGGTGGACATTAACTATTTAACCACATCCCTCTATGGTAAGTCACAGTACCACGTCTCGAATCGAGTAGGGGCTGAACACCCAACAATAAATATAATAATATAAATTATATGGCCACATGGGCAGCTTAATTGGTCACAGGGATGAAGTTTGTGAAAAAATGACCAGGGATCGAGTCTCACTAGCGTCAGTGTGAGAGCAACTTCTCAAAGTGAGGGGACTCTTTGTGCGCAGTAAGCAAAGGTCTAGTCTTTGTCTTAAGCTGAGTTACCATGATTTACATCCTCTCAGATACTCTACCGGGTCGGAGTGTGGGGGCCCTTGGGGTTGGGCATTCAACCTTTTGGAAAGAATAATATAAATTATATATATAATTTTAAATCTATTTCATAATTAATATTATATTAATTATCAAAAGTCTCTTAATTAATTATTAGTATTTTGTCTTTTTTTTTTTTTTTTTTTTTTTAGTGTATGAAAAAATATAAGTACAAAAATAATAATATCATTTAAAAAAGCTCAAAATTAATAAAAATAAAATTTTGGGTATATCCAAACTAACCCGAAAAAACTCAAAATAATTTCACTCGAACCGGATAGATCTGAATTAAATTTGATTTGGAAATTGGGTGTCAAATTAAAAACATCACCCGAAATTTTTGAATATCTGAAATAAAATTCGGGTATCACATAAACCGAACAAACACCCACCCCTACTCATAAGTAACTATTCAACCCTAAATATTATATTTTGATTTAAAAATATTACATTTTTTCCTTAAAAAATAACAAACAATTTATTTCTAATTAGTATTGCATAAGAGTTAGTTCTAGGAATGGTCCCTTTTATCCTTCGATTTTCAATTGGTCTATTAATGGTCCCTTGACTATTGATCTTTATATATTTTAGTCTTCAACTTTCAATTTAACCATAAGTGGTCCCTTGACTATTGATTTTTTTTTTTTCAAATTTGGTCATCTAGTTAAATATCATTTTAATAAACATTAAATTTAAGGGCAATAATGTAAAAATTTTAGTTATTCACAATGATGAACTCAATGTATTAAATTTATGAACTCAATTTGTCCATCTCAACAACAAGCTAATTTTTACATTATTATTCTTAAACTTAATGTTTATTAAATGGATATTTAACTGAATGACCAAATTTGGAATAAAATCAATAGTCAATGGACCATTTGTGGTCATATTGAAAGCCGAGGACGAAAATTGGTAAAGATCAATAGTCAATGGATCGTTTATGGTCCAATTGAAAGTCAAAGGATAAAAATTGATAAAGGTCAATAATCAAAGGATTATTCCTGAAATTAACTCTATTGCATAAGTATTATATTTCATCACATAAATAAACATCCGCGAGACAGTCACACAGGAGACTCACTCCATTCCTTAATAATCATGAAATATTTTCCATTAATATCTTATACTAAAGTTATTTTGTTTTGTTTTCTTAAATAGAAATATAATTTAACACCAACTCATTCCAGGGTTTTTCTCTCTCTAGATTCTCTCTAGGGTTTTTGCATACCTACTAGGGTTTTCCTAGGTTTTCATACAATTTTGTTCGTATCCTTCCTGAAAGATGGCCGACGATGTTGTAATGGATGGTGTGGTCAACCGACGTGATGTGGGGCAAGCCGAGATGGAAGAAACGCGTGAAAGACGATTGTCGGAAGAGGTTAATATGCATCGGATGATGGATGGCCGACAAGAGCCTCGACGAACAATTAATTGGGGGCAAGTGGGAAGGGAATTGGGGGTGGATGGTGGGTCCCAGCCGACAGGGATGTTACGGGAAAGTGGGGGAAGGGGGGAACGAGGCGGTGGATTGGGGAATGAGGGTGTTGCGTTAGCAGGTGATCATGGCGGTGGTTTTGGAGAGGATGTGGGCGGTTTGGATGGGGGTGTTGGGGGAAGTAGGGGAGACGTGAGCAGTATGGGTAGAGGGGGAATGGTGGCAGTACGGATCAGCGTGGGAGGGGGGCTGGGAGGACTACACGGTAGCAAGGGGTAGTGGGGGGTGTGTCGGAGTTGACGGATAGATGGGCGGAGATGGCTTTGATGGAGGAGGAAGGGGCGGTCTTTATGCAGGAAAGTGGGGATGGGGTAGTAGAGGGTTATGGGGAGGAGGAGGAAGAGACTTGGAGGATTGTTGGGCGGTTTTTGACACAAAAAATGGTAAAACTAGATTTTATGAGACAGGTTCTGGCATCTGTGTGGCAGCCGGTACGTGGAGTACAGGTAATGGAGATTCAGAGGGGTTTGTTCTTGTTTGTGTTTTTCCATAAGACAGATATGGAATACGTGCTGAATGGAGGACCCTGGGCCTTTGAGAATAATGCTCTCGTGTGTCGGGAGGTATTAGATGGGGTGAATCATGTGGATGTGGAGCTGGATATGATTGATATGTGGGTACAGTTGCATGACATGCCTAAGGGATACACGTCGCATGCAATTCTGGAGCAGGCATGAAATTTTTTGGGTTCTTTTGTTAAACATGATGACCGGTTTGAGGGGGCGCCATGGCTAACGTTTCATCGTATTCGGGTGTCAATTTCGGTTGATAGGCCACTTAGAAGGAGGATGAGGTTGATGAAGAGAGATGGGACAACGGCATGGGTAAATTTCAGATATGAACGGCAGCACAAGTTTTGCTACTTTTGTGGCTGTATGGGTCACTTGCATACTTTCTGCATACACGCTAGGGAGGCTGGAATTCCGGTTGAAAGGTACCTGTACGGTCCGGATTTGCGAGCTGGTGGATCCCGGAGCGCTCCTAGAGCGGTTAGGGATAGCTGGCTTGTTCCGGTAGGCGGGAAACCACGACCACTGTGAGTCAAGCCACGTGTAGTGGATGGGGGACAGGGAAGTGGGGTTGTCACACCTACGAGTATGTCTGAGGATGAGGTGGTGGTGGCTACGGCAAAGCGTCGTAGACATGGAACGGAGGGGGGAGAGGGAAGTGGAAACGATGAGGTAACAACCGCAGCTGTTTCAAAAAACTTGTCCATGGCGGGAGCTGGTGTCCAGCCCCGCCCATCATCATGAGTACTCTGAGCTGGAACTGTCGTGGCTTGGGCAATCCACGCACAGTTCGACAGATTGTGGGCCTTGCGTCCAGTAAGAAGCCTGATTTTGTGTTTTTGATGGAGACCAAGGTACCACGGATACATGCAGAACGGATCCGGGTTACGCTTGGCTATGAAAGGTTTGTTTTATGTTGATAACGATGGTTTGAGTGGAGGAATGGCGCTTTTGTGGAAGAAGAATTATACGGTGAGATTTTTAAGCTATTCGCAGAGTCATATTGATGTGGAGGTAAGCTTGTTTAATAAGTTATGGCGCATGACATGCATTTATGGTATCTCCGAGCGTGGTAGGCGGGAGGAGACATGGGATTTACTTGGTACTCTCAAGACTAGATCCTTATTGCCCTGGGTGGTGATAGGGGACTTTAATAATCTACTATATCAGCATGAGAAGAAGGGGGGGAAATCCGTATCCTAATAGTCTGTTACGGGGTTTCGGAGATGCTGTGGATGACTGTGGTTTGATGCAAATGCCAATGAGGGGCCATCAGTATACGTGGCAGAAGGGTAAGGGGACGCCGAATTGGATAGAGGAAAGATTGGATAAGGCTTTAATAACGAATGATTGGGGTCTGCTCAATGAGAATGCAATGCTGGAAAATATTCGAACTCGGGCATCGGATCACTCGATCCTATTCCTCAGTATTAATGTGATTTGCATGCCAAGGAGAAGGGGACCGCGGAAGTTCAGATTTGAAATGGCTTGGCTATTAGATGAGGGGTGCAAAGGAGTAGTAGAAACGGCCTGGCAAGAGGGGAGAACGGAGGGATTGCTGCACTGCCAACAGTTGTGTGGAGAAAAGTTGATGCGGTGGGGTGGAGATCAGTTTCATAAATTTGGAAAGCGAATTAACCACCTGCAACGGAGGCAAGATGCCATACGGAATAGACGAGATTTGGTAGTTCTCGCTGAGTACCAACAGATTGAGAATACTATGAAATGAGTAGAGGCCCAGGAGGATGTGTTTTGGAGGCAGCGGGCCAAGCAACACTGGCTACGCGGGGCTGATGCGAATACAAAATTTTATCACAGGTATGCTTCTGCACGCCGGAAAAAGAATTTTACTTCTACTATTAAATGTGATGCTGGTAACTGGGTGGAGGGGGATGATATGCATGCTGTTATACAGAATTACTTTGAAAATATTTTTGCCTCAAATGGACTGAGTTGTGATGATCCACTTTTTGGAGTCCTAACCCCACGAGTAACGTTGGAGCAGAATATGATGCTAGACCGCCCTTTTGAAACTAATGAGGTTAAAGAGGCTCTTTTTTCAATGTATCCGGATAAGGCACCGGGGCCGGATGGGTTGAACCCGGGTTTCTACCAGCAGTTTTGGGGGATAGTGGGAGGAGATGTATCTGGTTTTATAGTTAATGTTTTGAATTCCTGTGTATTCCCTGAAGGATTGAATGATACTAACATTGTCTTGATACCGAAGAAGGAGATGCCTGAGACAGTAGCAGATTTAAGGCCGATCGCATTGAGTAATGTCATTTACAGAATTATGGCCAAAATGATAGCAAATAGGATGAAAACATTAATGGGAGGATTGATCTCAGAATCCCAGAGTGCTTTTATCCCGGGAAGGCTAATCACGGACAACATCCTGGTGGCAGCGGAGGTGGGGCATTATCTGAATAGAAAGCAATGTGGTATAGTGGGATGGAGTGCATTAAAGCTAGATATGTCAAAGGCCTATGATAGAATGGAGTGGAACTTTCTAGAAAGGATGCTGACTGTTATGGATTTTAGTGAGAAGTGGGTAAAGCTCATTATGGTGTGTGTAACGACTGTTAATTATACTGTAATGGTTAATGGTATAGAAGGGGGGCAAGTGAAACCAACCAGGGGACTGAGGCAGGGAGACCCGCTCTCTCCGTATTTATTTATTATTTGTGCAGAGGCTCTCTCGATGATATTACAGTATGAACAGTTGACAGGTTCAATACATGGGTGCAGAGTAGCAAGGGGGGCACCGCCTGTATCACACCTATTTTTTGCGGATGATAGTCTCCTATTTTTTAAAGCAAATATCCAGGAGGCAGGAGTTATAAGGAAGTGCCTTGCAAGGTATGAGAAATTGTCAGGCCAGGTAGTGAATTATAATAAATCAAATATATGTTTTAGCAGAAATACCCAGGAGGCTGACAAGGCACAGGTGGCGAATTGTCTGGGGGTGGTGCAAGCACCCAATTTTGGGAAATATCTGGGCCTACCATCTTTTGTAGGGAGGAACAAGAGAGCTGTTTTTTCGTATGTGGAGGAAAAAATCAGGCAACGAATTGGTTCGTGGAGTAAAAAGCTACTCTCTCAGGCTGGTAAGGAAGTATTATTGAAAAGTGTAGCACAATCTATGCCTACCTTTTCGATAAGTGTTTTTTTGTTACCTGAGACAGTTTGTCAGTCCATTGAGCGAACTATGAATAAATATTGGTATTGAGCGAACTATGAATAAATATTGGTGGGGCAGTGGAAGAGAAAGGGGAATACATTGGAAGGCATGGGACAGGTTGTGCATACCAAAAAAGTATGGCGGTATGGGTTTTAAAGAGCTAAGGGCTTTTAATATAGCAATGCTAGGTAAACAGGCATGGCGATTTTTAATAGACCCAGAAACACTCGTAGCCAAAATCTATAAGGCAAGGTATTATCCCACAACCAGTTTTACAGATGCAACTATTGGTAATTGCCCGAGTTATTGTTGGAGAAGTATAATGGCGGCCCATGCAATGGTAGTCTCAGGGGTGCGAAGGAGGATTGGGAATGGACAGACAACTCTAATATGGGGACACCCGTGGTTACGAGATAATCCTAGCCCATTGATTCAAACAGAAATGCCACAACAATTGAGAGAGGCACGAGTTGCAGGACTAATTGATTTACAGACTCGTACCTGGGATCCGCATATTTTGTCTGATCTATTTATTCCTGAAGATGTGGAGCGAATAAATATGATCCCTGTTAGTCCTGAGTATGAGGACTCATGGTACTGGATGAGTGACCCAAAGGGGACATATACAGTAAAGAATGCCTATAGGCATATTGTGGGAGATTATGAGAATAATCCAGCGAATTTTGATAAGTGGATCGCAATGTGGAAAATAGAAGTCCCCCCGAAATGGAAAACTTTTTTGTGGAGAGCCATATGTGATATTTTGCCAACAACCCTTAACTTGATATTTAAAAGGGTGGAGGTGGACCCAACTTGCCCTATGTGTGGTTTAGATCATGAAGATGTGTTGCATGCTTTAGTGCTCTGTGAATATTCTAGACTTGTTTGGAATATAACACGGTTGCCTATTATTAATATTGTTGCAGACTCGTTTACAACATGGCTAAAAGGGGTTATGGCAGTCTTGACGGAGGAGCAGATCCGGTTAATGGTAGCAATATTATATTATATTTGGAGAACCCGAAATTCAGCTGTCTGGAAGGGATCAATGATGCGGCCTACCCAGTTGGTCAGAGTAGCCACTGTAGCACTGCAGGCGTACGACACTGCTCGTGTTGGCCGAACCAACCTGGCACCGGCGGCGGACCACGTGAATGGCCCAGGAGGGGGTGGTCTACGATGTTATGTAGACGCGGGTTTCCGGCACGACACAGGCGAGGCTACTTACGGCATGGTAATTATAGCGCCAGATGGCTCGTTTGTGGCAGCAAGGAATGGCGAGTTACCAATTTGTTTTTCACCACTTATGGCGGAGGCTCAGGCATACAAGGAGGCTTTGTCCTGGCTACTTGAACGGGACACCACATCAGTAAGTTTACTCACGGATTGCATGGAATTGGCAGCGATGTTCAGGCACCATCATACGCCGATCCATTCGTACGTTGGGGTCACAGTTGACCAGTGCAGGACGTTTATGTCGTTGTTTAATCGTATTACTTTGGATTATATTTCTAGGCAGGTTAATTTAC